GCTGCCTGCTTTCCTGGTCCCTCTGACAGCTGACAGCTTTCCTTCTGTAGCTCAATAAAATTCTTTTCTGCCGTGCTCACTCTCCAGTGTCTGCATACCTTATTCTTCCTGGAACCCGAAACTTGCTAAGCTGCAGGCCACAGGAGTAAAAAAGAGCTATAACCCTCCCTCCTGCTTGCAGAACAACTGGTGAGAAGAAGCCATAGGGTGCCTGCTCACTGAATTACAGAGCGAAAGAGCTGTGACACTCCTGGCTGGCTCGCTGAGCTGCAGACAGTGCAAGTAAACAAGCTGTAACACTCCCTCCTGCTCACCAAACTATGGAAGTGAAAAAGCCACTGGATGCCACTTCCTCCCACTTGCTGAACGACTGGAGCAAAGAAGCCACAACATTATATTAAATTAAGTTACCAAGACCAGCTCGGTCATGGAAACCCCAACCTAGCGGCACTAAGGAATTGAAGACAAAGACACAGAAATAGAGAGCAACGTGGGATCAGGGGGCTGACAGCCTTCAGAGCTGAGAGTCACGAACAGAGTTTGACCCACATACTTATTGACAGCAAGCCAGTGATAAGCATTGTTTCTATAGGTTATAGATTAGCTGAAAGCATTCCTTACGGGAAACAAAGCATTCTTAGCAAGGAGTAGAGAAACAGGCTCTGGCTGATTATCAGCAGCAAAAACATGTTGTTAAGGCACAGGCCACTCCTGCTATTGTTTGTGGTTTGAGCAGTTGTCCGTTCTGGGCGGGCCAGGTGTTCCTTGCCCTGCTCCAGTAAATGAACAACTTCTAGCAGTGTGCATCATAGCCATCATGAGCATGTCACATTGCCACAGAAATCCTGTTTATGGCCAGTTTCTTTAAGGCCTATTTATGACAGGCTTGTTCCCAGCATTAAGTAATCCTAGGTTTTTCACCAGAAATGAGGGTTACTAAGAGAATAGTAGTTAATATATGTGATTAAAACTAGTAGATACAAGAGAAAAAAATTCTACATACAGAATATATAAAGTAAGATGTTGATATAGTTTGGGTGTTCTTTCCTCTAAACCTCATGTTGAATTGTAATCTCCCATGTTGGAGGTGGGTCTGGTGGGGGGTGACTGGATCATGAGAACGAATCCCTGATGAGTGGTTTAATGCCATCCCCTTGGTGCTATCCTCACAATGGCAAGTTTTCACAAGATCTGGTTGTTTAAAAAGGGTGTGGCACCTCCTCCCCCTCTCTCTATGGCTCCTGCTATCACTGTGTGTGACATTTGCTCCCACTTCACTTTCTGCCATGATTGCAAGCTTCCTGAGGCCTCCCTAGAAGCTGAACAGATGTCAGCACCATGCTTCCTATAAGGCCTACAGAACCATCAGCCAATTAAACACCTTTTCTTTATAAATTACCCAGCCTTTGGTATTTATAGAAATGTAAGAACAGCCTATTACAGGAAATTGATACCAAGGAGTGGGGCATTGCTATAAAAATACCTGAAAATATGAAAGCAACTTTGGAATTGGGTGGCAGGTTGAAAGACTTTGGAGGGCTTAGAAGAAGGAAAATGAGGAAAAGTTTGGAGCTTCTTAGAGACCAAAAACCACTTGTACCCCAAAAGCCACTGAAATAAATAAATATATATATATACCACAAAGGTTTTAATACAACACTATTGAAGGGAGAACCTGCTGGTCCTTCAAAATTAAAAATCCCCAAACTAGTTTTCTGTATTTGCCCCAGATTGGAGAAATTACTTCAGTCAGAAGGCAAAGGTTACAATGAGAAAGCTGATTAACAATTGCCTGGGAAGTGTTGAGGCAAATTAATCAAGATTGACAAAAGAGCCTGGGTCCCTTGGCTCAAGTCCCTGCTGAGAACCCAAATCCTTTTTGACCAGAAAGGGTGAAATGGTCTGGAAGTGGAAAAGAAAAAGTTTCCTGGGACCAGAACATAAAAATGTAAGGGCTGATAGGATTATGAAAGTTGGGATGTTTAAATAGGCTTTATGTAAAATATCTGTGTCTCTTTTACCTAAATGTCTTATGAAAATGGGTATTGTAACTGACTGGGGAATGTTTTCCCTAACCAGTAAGGAAGGAGACCACCTCTCCCATTATCTTCTGTTTCAAAAAGGCAGCAAAAAGTTAAAAAGAAGCAGAAGTGAGATCAATAGCCAGACAGCTTGGCACCAAGAACCAGGCCTGGTAGTCAAAGATCAACTCCTGACCTAACCGCTTGTGTTATCTATAGATTCCAGACATTGTATGAGGAAGACTTGTGAAACTTTGTTCTGTTCTTCTAGCCCCCATCACTGATGCATGTAGCCCTCAATCATGTAGCCCCCACTTGCATAATATATCATGGCCCTTTCACATGGACCTCTTAGAGTTGTAAGTCCTTAAAAGGAACAAGAATCTTTATTTCAGGAAGCTCGAATCTTGAGACATGAGTCTACCGATGCTCTCAGCTGATTAAAGCCTCTTCCTTCCTAAAACTGGTGTCCGAGAGGTTTTGTCTGCGACCGGTCCTGCTACACTAGTACTATAAAACAGAAGGCGTGTAAATCTGCCGTTCCAGCAATATGAACTGGACATGCTAGGTGGGAACCACTAAGACTGCCCAAGCCCACTGTGTAGAGTAGGAACTCAAGTGCTGGTAGGGACAAATTATCTACTTGATAGCTTTTTGTGGAGTGTTTATTGGGGCTTATGGCAAAGGCCTGTGAGTACCTCCCAATGACAACTACTGGGACCTTGGACTAGAGAATTTCCACTTGAGGTGCATTTACTCGCTGGTTATGGGATGTTAAGTGAAGCTACCCCTATACCCAGAGTATATAAAATGATCTTGACACTTGAAATACCCATGTTGTCTGGAGTGACGCAAGAGAAACACTCTAAAGGGAAGCAGTGCCCAGAGTTCCATAATAAAATGAAGATGGTTTATATATGATCATGCTACCTTCGGGTGCGAGGAGGAGCAGGAAGGCTCTTTTTCCCTAGAACAGTGAATCTGGAACAGTGTAAGGGGCTGCCAGATTCTACAATGTCCAATAAATTGCTCTAACTTGACTGACAAAGAGCTGCTGGATTTGTGGATGGCAATTCCAAGGTGAACTGTTGGGGTGACTTGCACTACATAGGCTGAATCAGAAACAATGTTTACTGGCTGTTTAAAAGTTTTTAACACTGTTATCATAGCCATAGTAAGTTCAGCCCTTTGAGCAGAAGCAAAGTCAGTTTGAAAAACTTGCTATTGAGGTCCTGCAAATGAGACTTTTCCATTACTAGATAGCATTTCCTTTTCTATACTCCTTTTTTGTGTGTCCAAATTGCCCACAATTAAAGCAAGAGCCTGAGAAATGGGGCATATTCTTTCCTACTTTCAATCCAGCCATAGCCTGAGCTAAAAGAGTAGCCTTAAGTAAGTTACCTCCAATACCATCGCAAGCCTGAATATATTCAGCTAAACAAGCCTTCCCTCTCAGGGGTCTAATAGCAGTTTGACACTCTGCATTAGCATTATCGTATGCAAGAAGCTGTATTACAACATGCTGAGCTGTTGTATCAGTTATGGCTTTCTACACAGCCTGTTGGAGCTGAGCAACAAAATCAACATATGGTTCTTCAGACAGAACGGAAGGGAGGATCTTTTATCCCTGTAACGTTTGTCCTTTCCCATGCCTGTAAGCACACAGAGCGCAGCTGAAAAATGGCAACATCCTCCGTTACTGCATGATTCTCTAATCGACCCCAATAAGGGCCAACTCCCATTAACTGTTCAAAGGAAACAGGCATAGGTGGCTGCGCTTGTGTGTTTTCCCTTGCCTGGTTTTGAGCTTCATCAGCCCACCAAGTTTTAAACTGTAAATACTGAGGCAGAGTGAGAACAGATTTTGTTAAAGTATCCCAATCTTATGGTATTAACCTATTATCAAGAGCCACATTTTTTAACAAAGTTTGCACAAAAGGAGAGTTTGGTCCGTATTGACTAATGGCTTGCTTAAACTCCTTTAGTAACAAAAAGAAAGGTGGCCTAATTAGCTATATCTGTCCTCCTTGCTGGGTTATATAGTAACTGGAAATTGCCATGCTTTGAGGTCTCCCTCAGCTCTAGCTTTTTGAATAGAATTTTGTATAGCACCACCAATTGCTCCAGGTTTTAATATTGCAACTACAAGAGCAGTAAGTTTTTCAGCTAATTCATTTTCTCACCCTTTAAGGGGAGAGGGAGGAGGTGGCCATTCATTTAATTCAGCAGGTGGAGCTGACGGGCTAGTAAAACATACTTTTTTTTAGCTTTCCTTTCTTTAATCTCCTCTGGTAGCTGTTCCTCACACTCAGAATCTGAAGTTAGTTTTTTACACTTGTCCTCGTCTTCCTTATCTGAATCTGCCTCATTATCTGTTTGAAATGGCTCAAGAGCTGCCTGTATTAGTGCCCACATTGACCAAACAGAAACTGGAATTTTTACTTCATCTTTATATGCCTTTTTAAAATCTCTTCCCATTCTTTCCCATTCATCCAACTCCATAGTCCCTTGTTCCAGAAACCATGGGCAAAACTGCTTTACTGTACTAAGGAGTGATAAATTCTGAGTACTAACTTTCACTCTCCCTTTTTGTAATAAATGCCTTAAGAAATTTAAATAAGCTGGCCAGGCATGGCGGCTCACACCTGTAATCCCAGCACTTTGGGAGGCCGAGGCTGGCAGATCACAAGGTCAGGAGTTCGAGACCATCCCGGCTAACATGGTGAAACCCCATCTCTACTAAAAATACAAAAACATTAGCTGCGTGTGGTGGCGGGCGCCTGTAGTCCCAGCTACTCGGGAGGCTGAGGCAGGAGAATAGCATGAACCCAGGAGGCAGAGCTTGTAGTGAGCCGAGATCACGCCACTGCACAACAGCCTGGGTGACAGAGCAAGACTCCATCTCAAAACAAATAAATAAATAAAAATAAAGAAATTCAAATAAGCAGAATGTTTGCTTTCGTTTTGTCCCATTGTTACCCTAGTTCTTCAGAGCGCTCAGCTTTTCTGCCGAGCTTCTTTCAGTCGTCCTCAGGTGCCCTCTGATGATGCGTCCTCCACTTTCACACATCCTAGTGTTTCTTCCCTGGGGTCTTCGTCACCCCACGTTGGGCACCAGGAATGTTGGGGTGATTGGACCCAACACCAGGCTGTGGGGGCTATGAAGTCCAGCGGAGTCAAAGGAATGAGAAAAGACAAGTTAACAGAGAAAGTAGGACCAGGGGGCCAATACTAGTATGGAGGCTGTGAAGGCCCTGAGCTCTGGGAGCCCACACTATTTATTGGTGATCAAACAAAGAAACAAGTGGTGAGGATGTGGGGGTTGAAAGGAAGCAGTGTATCAGGTGAATGAGCTACAACTGTGACGGTTTAGCATTTTCTTTGAAACATATGGCTACTTGAGATCATGGGAGTACTAGAAGCAAGGAGCCAGCAAGTCTGGACACATTCCAAAGGCCACAAGGGGTTTTACCCTGGACATGTTCCAAGCCCTGCCTCAGCTTCTCTCCCAACACTCAGCTTTTCTCCCAACAGTGAACAAACATACTTGTTTGGAAGGCAGCAACTCTGATTGTAAACTACACTTTTGTGACCCAAATTTACCTTTCTTTCTCCCTGAGTTCTCTAAAATTTGGAAACTATTCATGAGTATTCTTATGTTATGGCAATATAGTTATATTTGTATATGATGAATAAGAATGTTTCCTTTTTTTTTTTTTTTTGTTAATAGGGCACAATTGGAGACATTGATTATTTTACCAAGGCTTTGATTAGACTAACAAATTTTCAGGTAAAGTTCCAGCAAAGCCTATATGGTCAAACAATTCTTGCTGCACTTTGTGCAAATAATCAGGTGAAGTACAATAAGGCTAAAACTAATTTTGCACACAGATCGATCTTACTATACTTTCTCTTTAGTAGAAAAGGGGGACTAGAGAGAGCTAAAAATTATGTTTCAAAGGAAAACTGTACCACACCTGTTTATACTAGATTCCAGCCCTGACCTTTGTTTTTAAGCTTTATTATTTGACTAGAATTTGGGCTAACTCCTGATCCTGAATTATTTCTTGGCTACAGTAAGTCTCCAAAGAAGAACTGGGTTGTAATTTTCTTCATGATGTTTTAGTTGGTTCCTTAGTGAAATTCCTTTTTTTTTTTTTCATTCTGACACAAAAATTCTCTTTTGATTGTCAAATCACTAATGTTATCTCTCATTGTTTTACTTCTTTCCAAGACAGCCAGAATCATGACATTCTGAAGACTAGAGATGATTTGACAGAGCCTGCAAATCACCCTCATTTTGGATCATTTGGCATCCCACTTGGCCTTTAAAAAATTTTTTTTTATTATGAGACAGGGTCTCACTCTGTCACCCAGGCTGGACTCTGTCACCCAGGCTGGAGTGCAGTGGCACACTCATGGCTCACTGCAGCCTCAACCTCTTGGGCTCAAGTGATACTCCTGCCTCAGCCTTCCAAGTAGCTGGGGCCATAGGCATGTGCCACCTTGCCTAGTTAATTAAAAAAAGAAATTTTTTTTTTTTTTGTAGAGACAGAGTCTCACTATGCTGTTTTCCAGGCTGGTCTCTAACTCCTAGGTTTAAGTGAACCTCCTCCTCAGCCTCCCAAAGTGCTGGGATTACAGGGCATGAACCACCATGCCTGGTCTCAAGGGTCATTTTCAAGGGATAGAGTTAGTTCAGAGCATCCAACTCAAGGATGGGCACACAGGTGCCTGTTTTAAACAGCTAGAAAATTGAAGTACTTTGCCTCCCGGGACATTATCTGGCTCTTTTTCCATCCATCCCAACCATGGAAAAGTTCCTGCCTCCACCAGTATGAAAAGAGAATTACCGAGGGGATATCACGATACCTGGTGACAGAGACTAGTAGGGCAGAAGAGGGCTCCCCACCCAGGAATGTCAGGGTACCATTGTCTAAAATTATTAAAGACCAATGTCTCTCTAAAATAATAATTAGTCACAGCCAGTGCCAGGGAGAGGCAGTCTCCCAATAGACAGAAGATACCTGACGCTGGTGATCAGCAGCTTCCCGATATGACTGCAGAAGCTGGGCAAGTGGGCTCAAGCATGCTCACTAAGAGGAAAAATGACAGAGTTTAACTGGTATATGACCTTCCTCTAGGAACACTCAACTGGTAAAAGAAAAATGCCTTGAATGAGCATGGGCACAATTTCAGTAAACACATTGTGCATGTGGCGCTTTCCAAGTGCTGACAAGCCACTGCCCATGTGGATAGCCCACCCCAAGGAAAAATCAAAACAGAGAAACAAAACCCCAGAAGCATGCCAACTTATAAAACCCCAAGTCAAAAGTCAAACAGGGCACTTGGATCTCTCAAGTTGTCCTCTTGGCCCTCTTCCAAGTGTACTTTATTTCCTTTTATTCCTGCTCTAAAACTTTTTGATAAACTCTCACTTCTGCTCAAAAACTTGCCTCATTCTCTCACTCTGCCTCATCCCCCTCAGGCGAATTATTTCCTTCAAGGGGGCAAGAATCAAATTGCTACAGACCATAAAGTTTCACTGCTGCTAAAAATATGACAAGAAATGTATTGGCCACCCTAGGATAAATTACTAAAGAGACCCATAGAAAGCACTGCGGCACAACCCAAGCCTCTAAAGTTCCTTAGCTTAAACAGTTTCAGGAAACTGCTATTGTTTATATAGCTAATTGCTGCAATTCTAACTAAAAACCAAGATTACAATAGTTCAATGCATAGAACTTATAGATAAGTCAATTTTGTTACCTTTTTGGCTTTGATTCCTGGCTCATATATTGCTTAAAAGGTTTGAAGAGTTGATGAGTGCCTGCCCATTGCATTGCCCTCTGGCCTGGAATGTTCAACAGGCTCTAAGTCTTTTGACTCTTAAGTCACTTGACCATAGGGACCCCACTGAGGGATAGGATGGATCCAGGGTAGGAAGCCACACCACCTCGACAACAATGTGGGACAAAATAAAAGCGTGGCCATCTATGCTGCTTCTAGGAAATCTTGGCCAAAGAAGGGGCAAAGAGAAACAAAAATAAAATTTGAAGCTTCCAACAAACTGAACAGGCCCCCCTCTCTGCCAAGGAATCCCCAGAGTAAGCTTGGAGAACTGGGATCTTGCTCTGTCCTCCAAGCTGGTGTACAATGGTGCAATCATGGCTCACTGCAGCCTCCACCTCCTGAGCTCAAATGATCTTCCTGCCTCAGCCTCCTGAGTAGCGGGCACTGCAGGCATGCGCCACCATACCTGGCTAATAGCTGAAGGTTCTTTTTTTTTTTTTTTTAATTTGCTATCATTCAGATGGGGCATTTTGATCTTTTTTCTCATTTTTTCCCTTGGGGTTTTGACTGTGGTGTATGTTGTATATGATCAATCGGCTTCATTTCTGGGTGCTTTCAGAGGACCAAGGCTCTGTACAGGCTCCTTGGTTGCAGGTAGGTTCCTGCGGTGTCTTTTTCGGGTGCTGTCTGTTGTAGCCATGTATTGGTGGTGGTGGTGTGATTCAGGGCGCAGTCCTATAGATGATACCTGAGAGAAATAGCAGGTAGGCTCTTAGGGCTCACTGGCCCTCAGCAGGGGTACAGCAGCTGGAGAACAGAAAAGGCCCTCTTTCAGCACGTGCTCATCAAGCCCCAGGAGAAGAGCTGCGAAGCATCCAGAACAGTGGACTGCGAAATGGGGCAGGGGTGAGAGATGACCCCCCTTCTCCACGTCTGTTCTCGGGCTTCGGTAGCCCTCTTCAACTGTTGGCAACACTATGCCCACGTTTCCTTTGTCCCAGTGGGCTTTGTCAGGCCATGCTCCATCCCCACAAGGGGCAGTCCAAGCTGAGGGTTGGATCTCCAGGGAACCCATAACTCCCCAGGGACCCTCGGGTCTGTGCTTGCCAAACTCAGCATGGTTGTGATGTTGTTTTCAGGTGGTCTGGTGGTGCAATGGCTCCAGAGTGGAAGATCTCCGGGCAGGGCACTGGTGCTGGGGATGCACAACTGGTATGACACCGCCCTCCCAGTCTGGGTGGTTGGCAGGGATGCAGCACAGCTGTGCGAGCTGGTCACCCGGTTCCCAGTTTCCAGGAAAATCTCTAATAGCCACCGATGGTGTTGCCCTGTGTCTCGGGGGCAGAGGGTTCCCCAACAGTTTAGCAGTCAGTAGATTGTCAGAGTGATGAGGGGAGCAGAAAAGCACTCCCATTAACCCTTTTTCTGCTTTTTCTGCTGGGCTCTGAGCTCCCCAGGGGTTGATCTTAGACAAACTTTTGTTGATTTTTTTTTCTGTGTGCCCCAGCTTCTTGGCCAGGGCATATTTAAAACTGGCTTTTAAGTTATAACAAAAATTTGCAAGCATGTATGTGATATGACAGACTACAGAGCACATCTAATCCTCCCAACAACACTGTGAGGAAGGTATTAATATTCCAATTTTACCCATGAGGAAACCGCAACCCAAAGAAATCTGGAGATCTGCCAAAATTCACACAGCTAATAAAGGCAGTGCCAGGACTAGAACATAGGCTCTCGGTTTCTTCTTCAAAATGCCTTCAAATCTAAATTATTTTCAAAAAGTTCTGGAGTCTTTTTGACTACCTACGGGAGCTACCTACGGGAAACTCATTGTCAAGCCCTGTCAACTAGTAGTTGTCTTTCAACTGAATGGTGGCAAGGGGACTCTGACAGACTATGGGTTGAAGCATATCATGCTATTTATGGTTACACACTCCAAGAATTATTCCCAAGCAAGAATACCAGGAAGTATGTCATTACTACTGTGGGCTTTTGGGTCCAGAAACCAAATACCATTTAAAGGAAAACAAAACCGATCCAGATGTTATCAGCGGCAAGACACACAGGTTTGTCTTTTGTTTTTTGTTTTTGCTTTTTTGTTTTTACTGTAGCTGTGAAATTGTTTAGCCTCTTCCCAAAGAACAGCTGAAAATTATTAAAGTGAGTGCAAAAGTAATAGCAGTTTTTGCATTGTTGGAATTTGCTGTTCAATATTGGAATACATTCTTAAATAAACGTGGTTATGTTATATATCATTTTAATGGGCATTTCTCACTATGTTTTGTTGCTAATGACTTATTACTTGTTTATGTCTATTTTAGACTACAGAAAGCATGTTAGACAAAAAGCAAATTCAAGCAATTTTCTTATTCCAGTTCAAAGTGGGTCATAAAGGAGCCGAGACAACTCACAACATCAACAAAGCATTTGGCCCAGGAGCTGCTAATGAACGTACAGTGCATAAGTGGTTCAAGAAGTTTTGCAAAGGAGACAACAGCCTTGAAAATGAGGAGCGTAATACCTGGTCATCAGAAGTTGACAACGACCAGTTGAAAGCAATCATCAAAGCTGATTCTCTTACAACTACACAAGAAATTGCCAAAGAACTCAATGTCGGCCATTCTATGGTTGTTCAGCATTTGAGGCAAAATGGAAAGGTGAAAAAGCTTGATAAAAGTGGGTGCTTCATGAGCTGACTGAAAATTAAAAAAAATCATTTTAAAGTGTCGTCTTCTCTTATTCTACCCAACAACAACAAACCATTTCTTGATCAGATTGTGACGTGCAATGAAAAGTGCATTTTATACAACAACCGGCAAAGACCAGCTCAGTGGCTGGACTGAGAAGAAGCTCCAAAGCACTTCCCAAAGCCAAACTTACGCCAAAAAAATAAATAAATAAATAAAAACGTCATGGTCACTGTTGGTCTGCTGCTGGTCTGATCCACTACAGCTTTCTGAATCCTGGTGAAACCATTACATGTGAGAAGTATGCTCAGCAAATCGATGAGATGCACATCGCAGTCAGCATAAGTCAACAGAAATGGCCCAATTCTTCTCCACAACAAGGCCTGACCACATGTCACACAACAAACGCTTCAAAGGTTGAATGAATTGAGCTACAAAGCATTGCTTCATCTGCCATATTCACCTGACCTCCTCCCCAGCTGACTACCACTTCAAGCATCAACAACTTTTTGCAGGGAAAACACTTCCACAACCAACAGAATGCAGAAAATGCATTCCGAGAGTTCCTCAAATCTGTAAGCACAGATTTTTACACTACAGGAATAGACCTGTGTCTTGTTGGCAAAAACGTGTTGATTGTACTGTTTCCAATTTTGATTAATAAAGATGTGTTTGAACCTAGTTATGATTTAAAATTCATGGTCTGAACCCACTATTACTTTTGCACCAACCTAATAGTTGGGAGGAGAGCCAAAAACACCTAAGAAAAAGGCAGAACATAGACCAAAGGGAAAATATCAGAGCCAGAAAACTTCCAAGCTTTTTAAAAGAGTAAGATGCTGGGAAATTTGCAAAATGGTCACAGAAAAATACTTTCAGAAGGGAAAAGCAGGGTTAGAAATCCTAATCAATCCA